CTTTATGGGGTCTGCGATGATTCCTTCTGCCTGTTACATACTTTTACACAAAACCTTATACCCTGATTTCCCATTTTCAATGGGTTCAGGGTATAAAAATATTGCCATTTGCTGGAATTTCAAAATCCAATTATAAATGTGAAGTCAATTTATATAAATTATTTCATATGCTTAATGCAACTATTTAGAGAGTTTTTCGACTCTTCGACGGAGGTGCAGCATCTGCTTTAGTCTTTCTCATTGAGTTCGGGTAATTCGAATTGATGCTGTCCATGTCCACATCCAAGGAGGAATAGCTCTGCTCAGAGGACGGTGTGCTGGATCTATAGCTTGAGGAATCGCTGTCCGAGGATAAGTAAGTGTTCCACCTGCAGCCCCTTTGCTTACGGTACAGCTTGCGTTTGAGTGGATTGGCTGAGCACATTGCCGTGGGCGACGAGGAACTCATCGAGTTCGTGGTGGAGGAGTAATCGGGAGAGCTGCTGCTACTACTTCTGCTGCTCGATTGCCAATCCAACATGTTGCACCCGCGCCAACGCGTCAGGCTACTGTGGTACGGGCTGGGTGGATGATTTGGGCAGTCCATTGAGCTCCGTGGAGGTGAGCGTTCCTCAGTCTGCTCGTGATGCGTGTAGTAGGGATCTGTGTCCAAATCGTTCAACTCCATCAGGGACTGTTCGTTGTCCTCACACTTGGCCAAACGCCCGCCGTCTTTATGCTTCCGACTTCTATCGAAGGAGCCCTTCCGCTCCGTCTCGTGCTTCCAGCCTGCGTCGGGCGACAGAGCCCCCATACATGTGCCGTACATGTCCGGCGGCACTGGCAAGTTAACGGGCTCAAACATGACGTAGTTGCCCATATCAGAGCTGCCCGAATGCCTGAGGCGGCAGTCGCTGCCCCAAGTGCAGTGCATCTCAACATCTTCGTCAGACAGCTCGCCATCTTCCAGCTCGACGGACTGAGACTCTTCCTGTCTGTTCCTCCTGCGTACATAAGGCAGATCTGGCAACCGAGGCTGCATTAGATGCAGAGAGAGCTCCTCCAGCTGGTCTCGCTCTAATGCTTGCCTACGTGAATCTCTCCCCCTGCTCCGTTTATCGAGTCTATGCCTAATCCTCTTAGCCGGCTTACGATGCGAGCTTATAGTCCTCCAGTTGATGCATTGTGATTTTGCATCCATTTTCGTTGATTTATTTCGCCTATGTTTTTTATTCGATGTCATTTTGATGGTGCAAATTAAAATCGACTGAAAGCCCAACGAAAATCGATTGTAGACTGTGCAAAACAAACCTTATATACATATAAATATGTATGTATTGTTTCTGACTTCCGAAATCAGTATGGGCTAGTTGCTGTACAGTCCAATTTGAATTTGCTTGCGGTTGAGCTTTCACAAACTTAAATGAAAAGCATCGATATTGAATTTGTAGACTAGCGATGCGCGATAAAAAATCGATTCAGGGTTGCCAGACTGCGTCGTCATTGATAATTAAACCTAATAAACTATAAGAAAACAATGTGAGTTTAGATCATTTCTATTCAATTTTATTTGTTTTATTTATATAAAAGAAACTTAAAAAAAACTAAAAAATATTAAAACAAAATTTAAATGAATGATTTTTATAAAAAATGATTAAAATTTTATGTTTTATATATTACTAATTCGTCTTACGGATAAATACTGTATCTCATCATAGTAGGCGACAAATATTTGATAAGAATAAATTAATAAATTAATACAAAAAACAAAAAAAGAATAAAAAGAAAAAATGTCTATATTATACAAAATAAATTCAATGTTCAGCAGAACCGTTAATATGGTCTTGGCCCAATTGCGAGATCTCCTCTTTCTGCCTCTTGACATATTAGTTTTGGTTACAACAATTCTCTTGCTGAAGCTGGCCGAACAGACTCTCGTCTTCTACATCCATCTGTATAACGGAATATGCACTGCGCTGCGAGACTCAGAACAAACTGTGCAAAGTCTTTGGAGCTGGGCCATACAACTCTCTATAAGGCTGTTAGAAGACTTACTGCTCGTAGTGAGAGCAGAATACGGGTATGCATTACCATTTATCCCAATACTCTATATAAGTCTGTGTGTGTAAAGAGCGCCCCATAACAGGTACTTTATCAGAAGCCTCTGACGCAAGAGTAAGAGAGAAGATTTGCATTTGCATTCTCCCTAACAGTCGACGATTTTTATAATTTTATTTTTATTGATATTTTTTGTTTATAGATTTTTATGTTCTTCATCGCATTTGCTATCCATTAAACCGTTCAGCTGTATTTTAGTGCAATAAAAAAACAATATTTTTTGTATATTCTATATATTTATGCAAGTTTTTCTTTTTTGTGTGACATGGCGTATGCGTAATGTTTTTCTTGGTATTTCCATCAAAGCAAGGGTTTTTGTGTTTCTTGTATCTGTTTACATTTAAATACATATTAAAAAGACAAATATTATGCAGAGTAGGGAGAGATCCTGGCCAGCAGCATGACCTCCACCCAACGAGCCTCGAGCCTTGAGCTCGTCCAGCATCAATTTCCGCAAAATTACGCTACTAAATTACCATAATATGGACAGCAATACTGCTGTTCTCTCTCTTCTCTCTGTCTCCCTCTCTCTCTCTCACTCCACCTCGAGCAGATGTCCCGCGAAAAACTAACGCCAAACTGAGAAACCAAAACAAAAGGCGACAAGTGAGAGACGAGACGAACGCCAAATGCCGAAACTGAACAGAAAATAAGCAAAAACAATGCAAAAGAAAAACGCAAACATCAGCAATGCGGCATTGGCGCTACCTGTGTGACCGTATTCGAGCCCCAGCCCGCGCCCCGGTGCTCCGCCGGGTCCCACAGGACTTGTAAATAGCAACACGCAAACAAGTTAAAAAGTTCTCTTCTGTTGTTCTTCGGCGTTTCTTTATGCTTCGCCTGGCTCAGGCCCCCAACATAATCGTTTCTCATTTCAATGGGCGGGGGCGGGGTTCCCTCCTCTCTCTACTGTTGCACCTTTTGTGCTGGCCCGCAATTTAGTTTTGAGCGTAATTTCTTTTAATAGCGCCAGTCGACAGATAAAATTCACCACACCCAGAACCCACTCAGACACGGACAGACGCAGACAGACGGAACACTGGCTGACGTCTGCGTCTTTGTGGATGTCTCGCGCCCAGTTGGAGCAGCTGCCAAAAGGCCAGGGAGCTCGGGGGGGTGTGCGGGATGCGGGATGCGGGATGCGTGGCTGGCGGATATCGCAAGTAAATTGCTTAATTTTGGCCATGTCTCAGCCCCTGGGCCCGTACGGTGGGTGGGGGAGGGGGAGGTGGCATTACCTGGCCTCGCTTAGGCTTGTTTTGTTTTATTGCGCCTTGGGGTTGCAGCGTGTGCTGCTTGGGTTTACGAAAGAAGGTCACGGGGGACAGGGAGGGGGCAGGGGTCAGGACGGGGTCTACGTTGACGTTTTCGGGCATGACGATTTCATTTGCATTTTATGATAATTGAACTTCATAAATATGTCACGGCAGCATCTTAAAAGTGCCAGCGGTAAGTACACACACCGTTTGCTGCCTGAGCTAAATGCTCCGGCTTTTCAGCATCTTCAGCATCTTTAGCATCTTGGGCCTCCTCAGTGGCTTCGGCATCCCATTGTCCTCGCCCGGCGTCATGTGCCTCATAATTATTTTGAAGTGTCGTCGTTAATTTGAAATACTTATGGGCATCGCGGGCCGGACCATAAACTGCTAAACAAAAGTGGATTACGGTTAGATTTTAAATATGCTAAATATATGGGCAGTCGCAGGTTTCAGCCAAGATGACGATGATGTGGCCAAGTGGCTAAGCCGGCAGTTATGTTAGCCACTAAAATTGCTATTAGTTTGCCAGCAATAATCTAGTCTAATCGAAAAGGCAAGGGAGTTACTTAAGATAGCTCAATCCCTTCAAGCAGATCTCTAGCCCGCTTTCACAGTCAAGTGAAAAGCATTTAACAGCTCGTTAGAATCACAACTCATCAAGACTCCCACGCAGGAGCAGCCCAAGCGGTAAGCCCCTTCAGCAGCAGCTTGAGATTGAAGCAACTATTTGGCGGCGCCATGAATAAAGTCGGGCATAAACAGGATATATGGCCACAAATCCCAGCGCCTTGCAGCGGCAATGAATATTAATGAGATGTCATCAGTCTTTCGTCAAATTAAAACGCACAGCGCAACGGCCCAGAGCAGGGAAGGCAGCCGAAGGACTCAGACTCAGACTCAGAGCTGCTGCGAGTTGTGCGCACATCCTGCGGTAACTTTTCTAATTGTTGCCAACTCACACACACACACACACACGCACACGTATACGTAAACACAACACGAATAAATCAGCCGGAAAACAAGCGACTGCTGCTGCTCCTGCTGCTGCTGCCGTTGACGGCGGAAGGGCGCGAGCGTCTTTAGGAATTTTCGGCAATTTGTTGTGCAGTAGTTGAGCATTTCATCAGCTCAGGAAAGGTGGCTTGCCATTTAAATCACAACCCTTGAGCCGTCATACGTCAGCGTACTATCATCACGCTTGTTTACACGCATAATTATCCTGGGGTGTGCGTGCGTGTGTGTGTGTGTGTCCCGGATACCGGGAATTCCATCTCCATTAGCGCCTCCTCAACCTTAGCCAGCTGGAAGAAGTCAAATCGACTTGGTCTTGCGGCTTTGTCGGCTGCCTTCGGCGATTTAATGCCTCGTGACAGATTTCTCACTTGAACCCAAAATGACGGGCCGTGTCACAATTTGATGCTGATAATATGTTAATGAGGTTTGTTTATTTGATTTATATTCCCCTTGTCAGCCTTCAGCAGCTTAAGGCCCAAGCTCTGCACTCGACAGCACTTGATGTTGTTGTTGTTGTTGTTGTTGTTGCTGTTGTTGTTGCTGTTGCTGTGGCTGTTGTTTATCGAAATCACACTTAAGTGGAAGTTAAACGCTGCTTTTGAAAGAACCACAAACATAATTGCATCACCTGTGCGTGGGTCAGCTCTTTAGTTGC